AAAGGTATACAAATTACACTCCCACCCATGCAATATATGAATATACACTGATTTACTATTAATAGTATGTCCCATGAGTCTTCCTATAAAAATAAATGTATTTATGAGTTTAACTCGAAGGATCTCCATATTTTATTTTGCACATTTAAAAATTATTAGTGAGACTGACATTTCAAGTGTCCCTCTCTGAGAACTGTCTTTCTATAGCCTTGGCCCATTTTTCTTTTCAGGTGAGGTTTTTATAAGAACATAACCTTTCATCGTGTGTCTTGCAGATGAATCCTGAGGGGTCTGTGTTCCAGACTCTTTCTTCGAGAGGGGATTGCCTTGACTTTTCCCAGGCCCTAGGAGAGCTACCCATCTAGGAGCACTGCAGTTTGATTTCTTTGCTTGGATCGCCCACGTGTGCACATAGTATATAAACTGGAACCCCAGACCTACACAAGGGCAAGCCCATGTTTACCTAGCACAGCCCTTTTCTCCTCGCCTGGAGTCTCTGAAGACATGAGGTGTCTCATGGCTCCTAGCAGATAGATTCCCCACCCCCACTCCCAGCCTCTTGCACCCCTCCTCCCTATTTTTGCAATGAGCAGACCACCTGGGGGGAGAGTCAAAATCTTTAGCAACAGGTATGTCATGGCACTGATCCATCATCAGCAGGAGGCTGTAACCAGTCGGAAAGGACTTTGGGCCAAAATGACCAGAATGGCTGTCCCTGGGTGCGCAGTGTGACGGCAGCCTAGGAGGGGCACCTGCCAGGGGTGGGGAACCTGTAGCCTTCTGATTTCAAGGCTATTCTTTTCGAAGCACCAAAGGAGGCAAGAAAAGCTTCATCTTTCTCTGCTGCACCCCTTTTCATAAAAGGATTCATTCTGTAAAATTTGGATTCAGTCAAAAGGCTGCATTTAAGGACCTAGGAGGCCACTCTCCTATCAGACAAGTCTCTGGTCCAGCTGCCCGCCTTGTGCCACTCACAGCCTTGTCTCCCGCTCTCCCCTCGTATGCTCATGCACCCAAGACTCGAGATTCCTGGTCCCCACTTCTGTACTGTTGATCTGTCTGGTTTCAGCTCCTAACATGAATTTCTTATTTTTTCCTTCCTTCCTTCCTCCCTCCCTCCCTAAAATATCATCCTTCCCAGCTCGCCTCTGTGCCTTGGGCCACCGTCCCATCAGCAATCTGCCAACAGTTTACAAGGACAGCTCGGCCTGGGCAGCTACCAGGATTACGATCTCTTTCCCTGCCTTGGGCGAGGCGGGCCAGGATTCCTTGGTGCCTTCTGTGCCCGCCTGGCCACAAGCCCCCCCTGCTAGCCGTGGCCTCTCACCGCCAGAGGATCCCGGCCAGAGC